CCATGGTAATAAACAGGCATGCCAGGATGTATTACGGTATGTGCTGTACTTCAGAGAAAAAAAGAGCAAGACAACAGTATGGGAGAGAATAAAAAAAAAAACATACAGATCTAAATATGGCCGTTACAGTTTGCATAATCTGTAATTAATCAGGCATAATCATAATCTTGGTTTTACAATAGACACTTTATCGTTTGTTTTCTCAACGCATATGTTTGCAGTACTCACCTGAGTGAAAAACATTTGTTGTTAATCCACTGTATTTGCGATAGTCGATTTCTGCGACGAAAAATCACGAAGTAGGCTACCTCAAGATATTATAACAAATTTCCAGCGGTGGAAAATGAATTCCACATGAAGTCAGTGAAGAAAGAGCAGTATTATAACTTCACAACTTCAGTGCATTGTTTTCTGTCGCTTCCATCAGGGGAGGGTCTGTTAGTCGCAGATTGTGGATTGAGAGGAGGAGAGCCAAGTAGTGAATTGAAAAACTGTGACAGGAAAAAAGAACGAGAACGAGAGAGAGAGAGAGAGAGAGAGAGAGAGAGAGAGAGAGAGAGAGAGAGAGACGCCAAGGCTAAGCAGCTACACTTATATTTTATACAATTATAGAATCGTAAATATTTGATGGCAATTAGACTTTTCACAATAAACTAAAACTAAAATGTCACATTGATGTATTATCTTGTTGGAGGCCTAAAGTATATGGTTGATACATTTTCAGTGGGATTGAACCAATAGGTGATGATGTCAAAGTGCACATAAGAGTTTTTTAAAAAGCTCTTTGTCATACATGATCACTGTTCATTACAGTAGCATAGTTTAACATCTGAAGAAGTAGATGAGGAGATATGGTCAGGAATGTGTGGGTCAGATTGTAAAAAGTAAAGACCAATGGGCAATGACTACTTGATGGAAAACAGAAGAACTCATTGCATGGTAGATTAAAACTTTAGTGCAGGTAGACAGAACCTCATCTTGCTACCTACCACTGGCTCATATGGAGGACATGCCTAGTGTATCTGTGACATATTTTAGCCGCAACGTTTGATAAAGGCATCTTTAAATCATTTTTCACCACTGTACAGACAGAACCAATAATTCAACATAGTAGGCCTGGTGACGTATAGGCTTAGTCATATAAATGTACTCCTTTTGAAAAATGACATCTTCAATTTCTTCCTCTCCTTTCTTTCCCCTTGGGGTTTTCCCCTACCCAGTAGGTCACTGAGTTTCAGGACAGGGATGTTGAACCTAACCAGACAGTGGACAAATGTTTTATTGACATTGGGTATTTCTGGCTCACAATATATGCTGCGACTGCTGTGATAACTGTGTGTTTGGGTGGTTTATAGGTACTGTAAGGCAGCAAGAGAAGAGTTTCCTTGTAAACAGTAGGGTGGTGATGATAACTGGGGACTTCAGGACGTGTGTTTTTCCTGCCGCCGAATGTTCACACAGATAAACAGCACTTAATGGTACACACATCCTTGTCATGAGGAAACCAATTTCCCACAGAAAACATAAAATGGTTTCCTGTAGGCTAGAATGCCCAACCAGGGTCCTCTGAGGCAAAGCCTGACTGGACTCCTGTAGGATGGAACTAATCATGTCCACAGCCGGCTGTGCACTAATTGAGCCTGGGGAAGCAGTTAGAATGGAACTGTAGCCTATGTCTCTACGCAAACTCAAAAGCAAAGTTAAAATCAATTGAGCTCATGTCCTGTAGAAAATTATGTAATAAGACAAATGACATATTATGTAAAGATGTGCTTGACCCTGGCCCATCTGTTGATTTGCAGATTGCTCTCTCTCTCTCTCTCTCTCTCTCTCTCTCTCTCTCTCTCTCTCTCTCTCTCTCTCGCATATGACCCCTGGTGGATAATGAAAGCCTTACTCATGTGGCAAGCTGCTGCTTTAAAATATAAAATATAATATGAATTATGAATCATTGACATTTTCAAAGCATGATAAGTAAAAAAAAATACAATGTCTTGATAGCTTCCCATAGACTCCATACTTATAAGAAACGTAGACAGGGTGGTGTGAGTGGTGAAACAGAAGAGTCGTTGTCTGTTCTTTTGAGTTTTGATGTTGAGTCTTTTATGCCAAATACAGTACCAGTCAAAAGTTTGAACATACCTACTCATTCTAGGGCTTTTCTTTATTTTTACTATTTTCTACATTGTAGAATAATAGTGAAGACATCAAAACTATGAAATAACATATATGGAATCATGTAGTAACCAAAAAAGTGTTAAACAAATCAAAGTATATTTTATATTTCAGATTCTTCAAAGTAGCCACCCTTTGCCTTGATGACAGATTTGCACACTCTTGGCATTCTCTCAACCAGCTTCATGAGGTAGTCCCCTGGAATGCATTTCAATTAACAGGTGTGCCTTGTTAAAAGTTAATTTGTGGAATTTCTTTCCTTCTTAATGTTTGAGGCAATCAGTTGTGTTGTGACAAGGTAGGGTTGTTATACAGAAGATAGCCCTATTTGGTAAAATACCAAGTCCATATTATGGCAAGAACAGCTCAAATAAGCAAAGAGAAACGACAGTCCATCAATACCTTAAGACATGAAGGTTAGTCAATCCAGAAAATTAACAACTTTGAAAGTTTCTTCAAGTGCAGTCGCAAAAAAACATCAAGCGCTATGATGAAACTGGCTCTCATGAGGACCGCCACAGGAAAGGAAGACCCAGAGTTACCTCTGCTGCAGAGGATAAGTTCATTAGAGTTAACTGCACCTCAGATTGCAGCCCAAATAAATGCTTCACAGAGTTCAAGTAAGAGACACATCTCAACATCAACTGTTTTGAGGAGACCTTCATGGTTGAATTGCTGCAAAGAAACCACTACTAAAGGACACCAATAACAAGAAGAGACTTGCTTGGGCCAAGAAACACGAGCGATGGACATTAGACCGGTGGAAATCTGTCCTTTGGTCTGATGAGTCCAAATTTGAGATTTTTGGTTCTTTGTGAGACGCAGAGTAGGTGAACGGATGATCTCCGCATGTGTGGTTCCCACCGTGAAGCATGGAGGAGGAGGTGTGATTGTATGGGGGTGCTTTGCTGGTGACACTGTCTGTGATTTATTTAGAATTCAAGGCACACTTAACCAGCATGGCTACCGCAGCATTCTGCAGCGATACGCCATCCCATCTGGTTTGCACTTAGTGGGACTATCATTTGTTTTTCAACAGGACAATGACCCAAAACACACCTCCGGGCTGTGTAAGGGCTATTTGACCAAGGAGAGTGATGGATTGCTGCATCAGATGACCTGGCCTCCACAATCACCCGACCTCAACCCAATTGAGATGGTTTTTGATGAGTTGGACCGCAGAGTGAAGGAAAAGCAGCCAACAAGTGCTCAGCATATGTGGGAACTCCTTCAAGACTGTTGGAAAAGCATTCCTCATGAAGCTGTTTGAGAGAATGCCAAGAGTGTGCAAAGCTGTCATCAAGGCAAAGGGTGGCTACTTTGAAGAATATAAAATATAAAATATATTTTGATTTGTTTAACACTTTTTTGGTTACTACATGATTCCATGTGTGTTATTTCATTGTTTGATGTCTTCACTATTATTCTACAATGTAGAAAATAGTTTTAAAAAATCAAGAAAAACCCTTGAATGAGTAGGTGTGTCCAAACTTTTGACTGGTACTGTATATTACGTTGTTACAGGTGTCAAGCTTATGGGCATGTGGCAGCAGTGTGTAGGATGGAGGTTCCTAGGTGTGAGAAGTGTGCAGAAGGGCATGAGACAAAGGACTGTGTAGCATTGAGGAATGTAGGGGTATGTGTTAATTGTAGGGGTGCCCATGGGGCTGTGGATCAGAAATGTCCGGTGCGAAAGAGGCAGGTTGAGGTTTCCAGGGTTAGAGTAGTGCTGTATGCTGAGGCAGTGAAGAAAGTAGAGGAAGATGGGTCAAGGGAGAGGGATCCTGAGTGGTGTGAGTGATATATCTGTACCAGTACAGAGGGATAGGCCAACAAGTGATACATGCTTCAGTAAGATTGGATTTTTAACATTTATAGCAATGGTTTTCAACTGTATTGCAGGGATGGAATGTAAGTCGTAGTCCCTTGTAGCTCAGTTGGTAGAGCATGGGGCTTGCAACGCCAGGGTTGTGGGTTCGTTTCCCACGGGGGGCTGGTATGAAAATGTATGCACTCACTAACTGTAAGTTGCTCTGGATAAGAGTGTCTGCTAAATGACTAAAATGTAAAAATTGAGGTTGTGGTGGCAGCTGCAGAGAGGTATTTGGGTGTATGAGACTTAATGTCAGGAGAGTTACAGGGCATGTTGAGTGGTGGTGACCTGTCCTTTCAGGCTGTTGGCCTGAGGTAGGACTAGATAGATTTAAATAGTGGAGTAGGGTGGTTAGATGGCAGGGTATTTGTTGATTTATTTTTATTTTCAAGCAAAGTGTAAGGGCATTATACTCCAGTCTAGTAGGTGGCAGTAAGGCAACATTTATTGGATGCAAACTGCCGTTAAACCTCATCGAAGAAGAAGAGGTTTAGTCACTTCCGGTGTCATGTCAGCTTGCTGGATTTACCTCATGGCTCCTGTAGAACTGTGAAAACGTTTGTATGTATCCCTTTTGAACGATGATGTGAGGCTAAATAACCAGACAAGAGGTAAAATAACTAGTTCCATTACCCCGGTTGTTGTTTATGATTTCATAGCCAGCCTTTATTAGCACAGTAATGACTTGCGTTCAAGTGTAAATGTTTTCTTAAAACTAGCTAGCTAGCTTGGTAGCTGACGTTAGCTAAACCCGAACTGAACTTTGACTGAGTAGTCTTTTTTTTTGCAGACTTGCAAACTGAATTTGTATATTATAATTTAGAAAATAGTGTATTCTTTGTGTATTACTGTTCAAGTAGCTAATACATAAATGTTGACATCTGAGACTGAAGACCTGCCAAATGCATTGTAATATAGCTTTCTAAGATGTTGTTCATTTCTTTAGAAATAAATGGCAGAAACTGTTCAGGAAAAGAGCCGTGGACTGAAGTTTGCAGAGCAACAGCTATTGCGTCATGGCTGGGAACAAGGTAACTTTAATGTTACATGTTCAGAAATGTATTTAGTAACAGTACAGGATAGTAAATTAATGATGGACAATATGCTAGCTAATGAACATCTTAAGATTACAGGCAGGAGTTTCTATATCAAGTGTACACATGTCAGCTTGAACTTGCTAGTACATTAGTAGGCAGGGCAAACCCGTTTTGGTGATTTCTGGTATATCATCGAAAGAAATCCATCACAGTACGTTTTTGGACTCATTCAGCAGTTTTTACCTGATTTTAAGTACAATATCATTAGAAATTAATGTTTTAAGTTCAATTTATATTCCTAAAACGTATGTTGAAAATGATGCTGTCACTGCTTTCTGTTGACAAGACATTTTGATAAATACCCCAATGTTAAAACAGTTTTAACATGTCCAAATCAATAACCAAAATGCAGAAACAGTTTGTGATATCTTGAAAACCTAAGCATAAAATGTACTATCATACATGTGCAGCAATTAGTAATCATATTACTTATATATTTTTTAATGGGCACCTTTTTAAACTGCACATGCATCAAAAACCCAGTTGTTTTAACATGGCAAAAAAATCACTGAAATCGATTAGGGGGGAAATCGGGTTGTACGCACTGTTGAAACTAAAAACCACATGAAAACTGGAGATATTTTTACATCACCTGGTTAGAGAACAACCTGCAGAAGACAGTGGGCTACATTGGGGTGATGCATTTTGATTTGGGGGTCGCCAAAACAGAAAAAGAAACGCATCACTTATTTGTCAATCACTCATATCGAAAACCACATGGACTCTGGGAATAATGTGTACATCACTGGTTAGAGGACAATTTGTAGAAGACAGCTAGCTACATTCCAAAGTGTTGAATAGGGGGCAAACGTTTGGGGTGTAGCGCTGTTTAAACTAACACTTTTCAAAGGCCACACAGAAACTTTGAATAACCTGTACATGGTTGGTTAGATGAGAACTTGTAGAAGGCTTATATCTATATTTTGGAAAGTCGTATGTTGATTTCGGGAGGCTGCCATCACGAAAAAGGGAACAAACCACTTTCTGTTAACTTAAACGAATCACAACGTTTGGGTTATCAAGACCCATAATATCAACAGTGACAACGGTTGGCTGTTATTTAAGTGATAGTTTGACTGTCAAATCCATTGGTGTGTGGCCAGCGACTTTTATAGAGAGACTGCCCAAAAATGTTCGTGCCATTTCATTAACGCCGCGTTCTGCGCATCCCAGCACGTGTGACAATCAATGGTACAAAACCAAAGATATTGATCTGCTTTAAGCAATCAATCTGATGTCATCGTGATTACTATATTCTTTTATACTAATCTGAGGTAAAAGGATGTGTAATTCCACTGAATGTTATGGGTTGAAAATGCAAGCTTGTGAGTAAGGTACAGTGCATTCGGAAAGTATTCAGACCCCTTGACTATTTCCACATTTTGTTTGTTACAGCCTTATTCTAAAATGTTCCTCATCAATCTACACACAATACCACATAATGACAAAGCGAAAACTAATAAATAAAAAACAGAAATACCTTATTTACGTAAGTACTCAGACCCTTTGCTATGAGACTCGAAATTGAGCTCAGGTGCATCCTGTTTCTATTGATCATCCTTGAGATGTTTCTACAACTTGATTGGAGTTCACCTGTGGTAAATTCAATTGATTGGACATGATTTGGAAAGGCACACACCTGTCTAAATAAGGTCCCACAGTTGACAGTGCATGTCAGAGCAAAAACCAAGCCATGAGGTCAAAGGAATTGTCCGTAGAGCTCAGAGACAGGATTGTGACGAGGCACAGATCTGGGGAAGGGTACAAAATATTTCTGCAGCATTGAAGGACCCCAAGAACACAGTGGCCGCCATCATTCTTAAATGGAAGAAGTTTGTAACCACCAATACTCTTCCTAGAGCTGGCCACCCAGCCAAACTGAGCAATCGGGGTAGAAGGGCCTTGGTCAGGGAGGTGACCAAGAACCCGATGGTCACTCTGACAGAGCTCCGGAGTTCCTCTGTGGAGATGGGAGAACCTTCCAGAAGGACAACCATCTCTGCAGCACTCCACCAATCAGGCCTTTATGGTAGAATGGCCAGACGGAAGCCACTCCTCAGTAAAAGGCACATGACAGCCTGTTTGGAGTTTGCCAAAAGGCACCTAATGGACTTCTCTGACCATGAGAAACAAGATTATTTGATTGAACTCTTTGGCCTGAATGTCAAATGTCACGTCTGGAGGAAACCTGGCACCATCCCTATGGTGAAGCATGGTGGTGGCAGCATCATGCTGTGGGGATGTTTTTCAGCGGCAGGGACTGGGAGACTAGTCAGGATCGAGGGAAAGATGAACGGAGCAAAGTACAGAGAGATCCTTGATGAAAACCTGCTCCAGAGCACTCAGGACCTCAGACTGGGGTGAAGGTTCACCTTCCAATAGGACAACAACCCTAAGCACAAAGCCAAGACAACGCAGGAGTGGCAACGGGACAAGTCTCTGAATGTCCTTGAGTGGCCCAGCCAGAGCCCGGACTTGAACCCGATCGAACATCTCTGGAGAGACCTGAAAATAGCTGTGCAGCGACGCTCCCCATCCAGCCTGACAGAGCTTGAGAGGATCTGCAGAGAAGAATGGGAGAAACTCCCCAAATACAGGTGTGCCAAGCTTATAGCGTCATACCCAAGAAGACTCAAGGCTGTAATCCCTGCCAAAGGTGCTTCAACAAAGTACTGAGTAAATGGTCTGAATACTTATGTAAATGTCATATTTCTGTTTTTTTTGTTTGTTATACATTTGCAAACATTTCAAAAAAACTGTTTTTGCTTTGTTATTATGGGGTATTGTGTGTAGATTGAGGGTGGAAAAAACAATATAATAAATTTTAGAATAAGGCTAACGTAACAAAGTGGAACAATTCAAGGAGTCTGAATACTTTCCGAATGCACTGTAGTAACAAACTGTCCACATTAGGGAAATTAGCACAATATTCAATTTTTAATATGGCAAAAATAATTAAACATGTCAATTTAAGATGATTGTATATGTTGCCCACTCACAAACCTTTGCAACAATGACATCTATTTCTCACTAATTTAACTATTTAGAGTAAAAATAAATAAAAAATGCTCTCAAACACAATTTAACCGGGTGCTCTAGACTAGAGCCTCAATAGTGTCTGTCCATAGTGTCTGAATGTTTGATGTCCCTACTAGTAGTAGTTGCCAGTTGTGTCTAATTCTGTGTTTTGAATGGTAACTAGATCTAATGTTCTTACTCTACCACTAATAGAAGACCCCTCACTGTTGACAGGTAAAGGTCTTGGTCGGCAGGAGAATGGTATATCGGAGGCTATCAAAGTCAAAGTGAAATGTGACAAGGGAGGGGTGGGACATCGTCAAGGGGAGCAGTTCACCTTCCATTGGTGGGACCACATCTTCAACAAAGCATCTTCTAGCCTGGAAGTGGAATCTGGCGAGGTAAGTCCTCAGAAGTGGTGTGTGAAATGAAACAGATTATTTTACAACTAGGCCACGCATACACACTTACATTGGGCCTAGGCTACATCTCCACCTTTCTGTTCTAGAATGGTGTGCAGGTGAAGAAGTTGGTGGAGGAGGAAGAGGAAGGAATGATCTCCAACAAGAAGCCAACGAAAGCCATGCTGGGAAGGGACAAACTTTATGGATGCTTTGTCAAGGTACAGGTGGACAAATACAACTGGAACACACTTCCATATCTGTGCCAATGAGCTCTCTTGATAATACAGTAAGATACTGCACTTAGGCTAATGATATGGACTGTACTGTAATGGTTGTTTTTCTCTTATTAATTTTGTGTATGGATCTCTCCCTCCTAGTCTGCCACCCTCCTGGCAGGACTGGAGCAGCCGGAGCAGAAGTCCTCCAGTACAGATGATAGCAGCAGCTCTGACGATGAGGACCAGAGACTGGACCTGTCCAGCACCACCAAGTAAGAACCTCACTGCCCAATAAAATCCACCACCATACAGGGATTAATATCAGTTTGTGAAGCTTATTTGTTTTCATATCATCAATGTGAAGATTAAACCTATACAGTGTTAACTACAGTGGTTTTATGTACTCAAAGGGTTAAATAATAAATGCTATTTCCCTCTCCCTTTGCATAGACTATCAGACGCTGACCTGGTGAAGGCTTGTGGAGGACGCACCGCTCACAAGTAAGTTGCTTGTCACCAATACGTTTGTAATAGATGCTGTGTTTTTATAAACCATAAACAAATAAACAAATCACATGAATGTGTGTTCTATCTTGGTGCATGCTGTTGATGAATGGTTTGAACCTGGTCTTGCATGTGTTAATAAGGAAGCTAAACATTGGTTTTCCCTATTTCTGTTCCCAACAGAGGAGCCAGGCACGGCCTTACCATGAGTGCCAAGCTAGCCAGACTGGAGCAGCAGGAGCAAGAGTTCATGGCAAAGTATGGCAAGAAAAACCAACTAGCGGCTGCAACACCAGATAGCGTCACCACTACCCAACCAGCTGCCCAGATCCCTGAGGATGAACGGACAGACAAGACCCAGGGGAAGAAGGCCAAAAAGAAGAAGAGGAAGAATCACTCCGAGGATACCCATGAGAATGTGGCTGAAGAGAATGCTGATGCTGCTGTGGTCTCCGGAAGTACCAACATGGAAGTAAAGGAGAAGAAGAAGAAGAAGAACAAAGATAGTGGAAGTTCAAAGGAGAACACTGGGGAGGTGGTGGTGGTTCCTGAAGAACTAATGCCTGTGGATAATACAGCAGACAACGCTCAGCCAACCAAGAGGAAACATTCAAAAAAGAGGAAGGTGTTGGAAGAGGGCGAGAGCTGTCATCTAAATGGAGAGGTGTGTGAAACTGCTGTCATTTCTATAGAGAGTGAAGCTGGAGGAGGCAGTGAAGAGGCTTCAGAGGGAGAAGGTGCCACTCAGCAACAGACTGACTCAGACACTACTACCAAAAAGAAGAAGAAGAAGAAGAAGTCCTCCAAGAACAAAGAGGAGCCTCCAGTGGCTGAGGAGATGGAACACACTAATGATAGAGAAACCAACCAATTAGAAACTGTGGAGGACTCCCCTCCAAAAAAGAAAAAGAAACAGGATGCAGCAATAGAGAAGAGCGAGGAATTGAGAACGGTGGAGGAGGAACCTAAAATAAAAGGTAAAAAGAAAAAATGCAAAGAGGACAAGCAGACCGTAGAGGACAGGTTGCACAATGTATCGGACTCCATACCTCTAAAAAAGAAGAATAAAGCTAAACAACAGAAAGCAGATTGATGAGGACTAGTGGTTGCCTTGTTGGAGAGGAAACAGGTCAGGGATTTGGGTCAGCGCTCTAATGCATCTCATAGACACATGAAACCATATAATGAAATGCAGTATATTTTTAATTAACGCTAAATGGCCATTATTACAACACCATGCAAAAGCAAAAAGGATGTTTTTTGTTTCTTGTCAACATATTTATTTGTATGGAAAGATTCAACTACAGATTGTATAATTATTTTTTTATTCCAGCGTCAACTGGTGTTTTTATACCGCTTCTTGTATGGTGGTCCTGTATTCTTAATATTCTCAACATGGATGTTTTAAACAATGTGACATCAACATCAGATATGAGGTTGCTACATATGAGCACAGTAATGTATTTTCTTTGCTCAATAAACGTTCCTTACTATCTGTGGTGAGGTACATTTGCATGATGCTTAAAGAAGGATTTCCTTAAGTGCCAATTAAAGCTGCTGATTTAGAATTATTGCATAGTTTATATCAGTGATTTTATTTTACACTGCTTTACAATACATCTTTGACTGTGTGAACGTGGCTCAATTTACCCTGACCATATTAATGCTCTACTCTCACAGATCCATCGGTTTCTCTGGCCACATGATGCAGCATTCCAATTAGCCAAAGGTGCATTGTTTGGGTTAGTTAAAGCACAATCACGACCCCACACAGGCTGACGCTTCCAAAACCTGTGAAAAGAAAACATAACCAAATAAAATAATGATTATGGGCTGGATTCAATTCGTATCGCGGAAGAGCCACGTTAAGATTTTAAAGGTAATAGTTTCCGACATGCAGCGTTGACCGTGAATGCAGTCTCGAAAGTGGGAACATTGATTTTCAATTGAGCTATAACGTGGCTCTTCCGCGATACGGATTGAATCCAGCCCTTAGTGAAGCGTTGTTCTAGGTAACATGCTTCTTTGTTGTATTTACATTGATTGGAATGTCCTTACCCATCAGTCAGATTCTGATGACGTCCATCAACCCAAAGCCATTGACCGTCTTCAGCTATGTCAGTCAGGCCGATCCAGTACCCATGATCTTCATCATAGTAGGCTTGAGTGTTGTTAAGAATGAATTCCTGAATGAGAAATTAATGAATCCACAAGTAGATACAAATAAATAAATAGGCTGCATTTAACAGTAATACACAGTTTTGGGAGGCAGCATTAGTGTCTAAACGTTATGGATAAATGCATCTTATTGGGTCCAAATGAAAGAGAATACGGTATGAAAGTACTTCCTGTTGTCAGTCCCCTACTTTTTTGAATGGGCTTCAAGCTTATATAATCAAATTCATGAAAAGGTGGTCATACACTGAGTGTACACAACATTAGGAACATATGCTCTTTCCATGACATAGACTGACCAGGTGAATCGAGGTGAAAGCTATGATCCCTTATGTCACTTGTTAAATCCACTTTAATCAGTGTAGATGAAGGGGAGGAGACAGATTAAAGAAGGATTTTAAGCCTTGAGACGTGTGCCATTCAGAGGGTGAATGTGCAAGACAAAATATTTAAGTGCCTTTGAACGGGGTATGGTAGTAGGTGCCAGGCACACCAGTTTGAGTGTGTCAAGAACTGCAACGTTGCAGTTTTTTAAAATACTCAACAGCTTCCCATGTGTATCAAGAACGGTCCACAACCCAAAGGACATCCAGCCAACTTGACACAACTGTGGGAAGCATTGTCAACATGGGACCAGCATCCCTGTGGAACGCTTCTGAACACCTTGTAGAGTCCATGCCCGACAAATTGAGGCTGTTCTGAGGGCAAAATGGGGTGCGACTTAATATTAGGAAGGTGTTCCTAACGTTTTGTACACTCAGTGTATAAGATATATATATACACAATTCTATTCGTATTCATGTATTAATTTGCTCATACCCGATTCCTTTTATCAAAATATTTGACGCTCAAGAAGTAAGACACATCGGCGAAAAGTCTTATTTGAAGCCCATTCTTAGCCTACAAAACAAGACAACAGGAAGTACCACTTTCATATGGTATAACAAAGAGCACAGTTGTAGCAGTGTTCATGAACTTAATGTTATGAGGGGGTTTCCTTGAACGTACAGTAGCTATATATCACATATTTTAATATGGTTCCTATTTCACTTTTTGGACATTTGTATTGCTTGAGTAACCCTTTAAAAGTTGTGTCCTACCTGTTCCTCTTGACTGTCTATGTCAACCAAATCGGCATTGTTGTTCTTGCAGTGCTGTCTGCTTCCTTGCCAGGTCCTCCAAAGGTGACCAAAGGGGACTTTAATGTGCAGAAACAGGTAACAACTGGATTGGAACAGCACCCAGCCAACTTGACAAGGTTTGCACTCTCTATCTGTGCAACATGAAACATGCAAAGGAATATAATAATAATATATACCATTTAGCAGATGCTTTTGTCCAAAGCGACTTACAGTAATGCGTGCATACATTTGTTGTACGAGTGGTCCTGGGAATGAAACCCACTATCCTGGCATTGCAAGTGCCATGCTCTATCAACTGAGCAACAGAGGACCACTACAACCAGCAACATACTGTTTTTGACATTTAAAGCAACATAAAGCATCACTGTGACATACATTCTGGACCATCAGCATATGAGACAATTCATATGAATGAGATAATATTAACTAGGATGTAAACTTTACCTTTGATGTTGGCATCTTTATATGGGCAGTAGTTATCAACTGGGAACTTCTTCAACTGAAATATGACCCCAAGAGTCCAATTGAGCCCATCTCTGTCTCTTGACAAGTTCATCCTCTCTGCCTTCAATTGCTGGTTTTCAGTAGACACATTGATGTAATCGCTCTGCAAAATGTGATTGGCTTCACTCAGCTTGCAGTAGAGATTCATTAGGTCCTGATTGGCTGCCAGTAGGGATATATGGTCATCTGTTAACTGCTCCAGTTCCTTCACCAGATTTGTGTTGTGCTCGGAGAGGGAGGTGCTGACTGTGTAGAGAGAAGGACATGCTTACTCAACCTGCACCTCTCCAAATTCCATATTATTTTGTCTTTATGATCCACATACTCACAGTAGACACAGAAAGGTATACTTGTTAACACCAACAGGACACAAAGAACTCCCAAACACACTGCCACTCCACGAAAGGGTTGAGAGTGGGGAGGAGGGCCATCCTTCACTAGGAATAGGCCCTCCTTCACTAGGAATAGCAAAGATAGGAGTGAATTATTATAGCCACATTTTAATATGCTTCATTAGTGAATCTGACAGTATGCCATTATTTGAAGGAGTCTAATACTTGAACAATAAATTGTGGATATTGATCTCTTATTCAACACACATGATGTGGCAGGACCAGGTTGACTGGGTGAACTCCCCCTTGCCTTTACTTCAACATATAGAGTTTCCACTTCCTTTTTCTCTTTTTTTGTGGGAGAGAGAGATAATTCATTAGTTTTTACTGTGGTAAGAATGTAACTTGTCACAGAGAGGTACTTGATCAAACCTTAATTTACAATACATTTGGCATCAACGTTCTCCAACACAGAATTGATAAAACATGAAAATAATCCGGAATAAATAGCTGCATAACTTGCTCGCTTGCTTTAAGCATCCTTCAATTTGAATAATTAAAATCATGGTGATTTAAATAAAACTGTTTTAGTGCTAGGTCTGGCAGTGAGAATTAGCTTAATTGATAGAAATGAACTAAAAGAGAGTAAGATAGACGAAGAGAGAAATAAATGCTAAGACTCACCTTTTGGTGAAGTAAAATTTGGATTTTTTAAAACCACTGTAGAATACTGCAACTCTTCTGGCATCCTTCAGATAAAAACATAGACAAACCATAACCAACGGTAGCATTCATTACTCCAGGACTTTTCAACAGGTGACTATCAGGAAAATAAAGGAAAAGGAGTTCTCTGTCTGCACTGATCGGTTGTATTTAAAGCAACAGGCTTACGTTTCAGCATTGGACGCATTCATAACAGCTTTTTCTTTATTTTCCAGTTTAATTAAATGTATGTATTTACCTGTTGAAGTGTCCAGGGGTGAGGAATGTTTTTTGGGATTTTCAAGTCCCTCAGTCAAGCACCTTATTACCTTTTTTGTTCAAGCTGAAGTGTGTTTGGTTACGCTTTCTTTCTACAAGTGTGACTAATGTTGTTATTATCCCCAGTAGGATCTGTATAAGTACTTCTGGGTTGACTCTGGTCTGCATTAATTACTCACAGATAATCTCCACCCAGCCGGCTCTCTCTCTGTAGCAATTGAGCCTGGGGACGAGGTTACTTCACAGACAAAAATGTCACTGTACAGATTCACACATTTGACTCAGGAAGTTATGTTTACCTGTCATGATCGTAACATCGTTGTGTGGTACTCAATATGGAAAACTGTACAGCTGTGGGAAACAGAAAGAACTATGTGCAGAAACAGAGATAGGATTGTCTTTCATTACTCTGTTGTGTTAATGTGAGCATACCTCTGAAGACTTGCCATACCCTCCTTACCAGTAGCGGTGCGTGGGTAAAATCACAGGGGAAGCCAATCCAGAAAAAAATTGCTGTAAATCAACCTTTGTGTTGTGATAATTGAGTTGTTTGCTCTATAAATCTTGTTAGTTCATATTCCTTCACACCGTAATATATAGGCAGAGACAATAAGAAGACACAGTGGCAGAATAAATTCAACCACACATTTGTTTCATTACAAAACTGGAGAGCAACATCTGTCCGGTGAAGTCCACAAAACATATTGCATGTAACAAACAGTTGCATGACCTACAGCATGGTCAAGCAAGGTAATGTTTCCGACATCTTTGGACAACTAAACAACTATTGATTTAGAACCACGGAGAGTTACCGCAAGTTGCAAAGAAAACCGTGTGTGTGTGTACAAGTAGAAAAAACATTTTGACTCACCCTACTTGTAGAGAAATGGCAATGCCATCCTCTTCTTTCATGTTGCCTAAATGGTCTATGACTCTGTCATACAGTACACGCTTTTACACTGAACGTAAATATTAAATGCAACACGCAACAATTTCAAAGATTTGACTGAGTTACAGTTCATATAAGGAAATCAGTCAATTGAAATAAATTAAATGACGTCCTAATCTATGGATTTCACATGACTAATACAGATATGCATCTGTTGGTCACAGATACCGTTTTAAAAAAAGTAGGGGCGTGGATCAGTACACCAGTCAGTATCTGGTTTTTCCACCATTTGCCTCATGCAGTGCAACACATCTCCTTCGCATAGAGTTGACCAGGCTGTTGATTGTGGCCTGTGTAATGTTGTCCCACTCCTCTTCAATGGCTGTGCAAAGTTGCTGAATATTGGCTGGAACTGGAACATGCTGTCCTACACGTTGATCCAGAGAATCCCAAACATGCTCAGTGGGTGACATTGTCTGGTGAGTATGCAGGCCATGGAAGAAGTGGGACATTTTCAGCTTCCAGGGATTGTGTACAGATCCTTGCGACATGGGGCTGTGCATTATCATGCTGAAACATGAGGTGATGGTGTGGATGAATGGCACGACAATGGGCCTCAGGATCTCGTCACGGTATCTCTGTGCATTCAAATTGCCATCAATAAAATGCAATTGTGTTCATTGTCTGTAGCTTATACCTGCCCATACCATAACCACACCGCCACCATGGGGCACTCTGTTCACAACGTTGACATCAGCAAACCACTTGCCCACACAAAGCCGTACATGCTGTCTGCCATCTGCCCAGTACAGTTGAAACTGAGATTCATCCATGAAGAGCACACTTCTCCAGCGTGCCAGTGGCCATCGAAGGTCAGCATTTGCCCACTGAAGTTGATCACAATGCCAAACTGCAGTCAGATCAAGACCCTGGTAAGGACAACGAGCATACAGATGAGCTTCCCTGAGACGGTTTCTGACAGTTTGTGAAGAAATACTTCAGTTGTGCAAACCCACAGTTTCAACAGCTGTCTGGGTGGCTGGTCTCAGACAATCCCACAGATGAAGAAGCCGGATGTGGAGGTACTGGGCTGGCATGGTTACACGTGGTCTGTGGTTGTGAGGCCAGTTGGACGTACTGCCAAATTCTCAAAAATTAACATTAAATTCTCTGCATTCCTGCAGTCAGCATGTCAATTGCACACTCCCTCAAAATTTGAGACATCTGTGGCATTGTTCACATTTTAGAGTGGCCTTTTATCGTCTCCAGCACAAGGTGCACCTGTGTAATGATCATACTGTTTAATCATCTTCTTGATATTCCATACCTGTCAGGTGGATGAATTATCTTGGCGAAGGAGAAAGGCTCACTAACAGGGATGTGAACAAATTTGTGCACAACATTTGAGAGAAATTAGCCTTTTTGTACGTATGGAAATTACTGGGATCTTTTATTTCAGCTCATGAAACATGGGACCAACTATTTACATGTTGAGTTTATATTTTTGTTCAGTATAGTTTTTGTTTCCTAGGCTACCTGGCTAAAATGCTTGCTCTCTAGCCTAACTTCCTTTCATGGGCAACGATGCGCCAGGCCAGCTAGTTAACATTAGCATACTACATCTAGCTACATGTTGAACTTCCATCCTCTCAGGCCAGGGGCACAATGTATGAATTTATGGTTGGAGCAGAATCGCCATTATAATAATTGGTCAGTCTGGAGAAATAAGTAAAACCACAAGTCCAAATCCCTATCTCCTCCATGGCTCATTTAGGAAAGGGCTGTCAATTTCTGTCAATAATGACATTTGGCTTGCAATGGGATTGGTCTGAACCCAAATCCAAACTGGCTTCCCTTGACACTGTTTTTTGGTACTCCAGGACCATTCACAGCTTTCTTTTTTTTTAAGGTAGTCCAAATTGTTGCTGGCTTCCCTTGCATTCAATGCTACAGGCAGCAACAATGTCATACTTTTTCTGACCAGACAGCATCAGATAGATACACTACACATACTGAGACAGAGGGATGCTGTTTCGTCCGCTCAGATGCTTTCTCCGGTGAGATACATTCAGCCTCTTGCGAATTGAAGGAAATGTATGAAACACAGAGAGACGAAAGATACAAAAGGATGTATGTTTTTTTTCTTGGTCATTTTGTTTGGGAACCCTGGCTTCTCTTGGCATCCATGAATACACATCATTGCTCCTTATACAGAGACAGTCTTCTAAACAAAACAGTAATGTCAATGAAATCGTGAATTTCTCCCAGTGACTGACAGACACTATTATGAAAAATAAGATGTTGTCCAAGAACAAAGAGGAGGCTCCAGAGGCTGAGGAGATGGAACACACTAACGATAGAGAAAACCAACCAATCAGAAACTGTAGAGGACTCCCCTCCAAAAAAGAAAAAAGAAACGGAATGCAGCAATAGAGGAGAGAGAGTAAGTGAGGACGGTGGAGGAGGAACCTAAAATAAAAGGTCAAACGAAAAAATACAAAGAGGACAAACAGACAATAGGTGACAGGTTACACAATGAGTCCATACCTCAAAAAAAGAAATCATATGTAACAAGATTGATGAGGACTTCAATGGTTGCCTAAGATTGTTGGAGAGGCAAAGAGGTCAGCCATTTAGGAGCTTTTGGTCAGAGCTCCAATGTTCATTGCATCTCAAAGACAGATAAAACCATCATATGAAACACAGTATATTTTAATCTGGGCTCAATGGACAGTATTGCAACACCGTTAACATAAAAAGGCTGTTTTGTTTCCTGCAAAAATTCAACAATAGACTTTATAGTGGAATGGATATTAGAAATAAAAATGTTGCGTCAACTGGTGTTTATATACCTCTAAACACTGTGATATCAACATCAGATATGAGGTCACTAGATACAGTGAGGGAAAAAAGTATTTGATCCCCTGCTGATTTTGTACGTTTGCCCACTGACAAATACATGATCAGTCTATAATTTTAATGGTAGGTTTATTTGAACAGTGAGAGGCAGAATAACAACAAAAAATTCCAGAAAAATGCATGTCAAAAATGTTATAAATTGATTTGCATTTTAATGAGGGAAATAAGTATTTGACCCCTCTGCAAAACATGACTTAGTACTTGGTGGCAAAACCCTTGTTGGCAATCACAGAGGTCAGACGTTTCTTGTAGTTGGCCACCAGGTTTGCACACATCTCAGGAGGGATTTTGTTCCACTCTTTGCAGATCTTCTCCAAGTCATTAAGGTTTCGAGGCTGATGTTTGGCAACTCAAACCTTCAGCTCCCTCCACAGCTTTTCTATGGGATTAAGGTCTGGAGACTGGCTAGGCCACTCCAGGACCTTAATGTGCTTCTTCTTGAGCCACTCCTTTGTTGCCTTGGCCGTGTGTTTTGGGTCATTGTCATGCTGGAATACCCATCCACGACCCATTTTCAATGGCCTGGCTGAGGGAAGGAGGTTCTCACCCAAGATTTGACGGTACATGGCCCCGTCCATCGTCCCTTTGATGCGGTGAAGTTGTCCTGTCCCCTTAGCAGAAAAACACCCCCAAAGCATAATGTTTCCACCTCCATGTTTGACGGTGGGGATGGTGTTCTTGGGGTCATAGGCAGCATTCCTTCTCCTTCGATTTTGGTCTCATCTGACCACAACAATTTCACCCAGTTCTCCTCTGAATCATTCAGATGTTCATTGGCAAACTTCAGACGGCCCTGTATATGTGCTTTCTTGAGCAGGCGGACCTTGCGGGCACTGCAGGATTTCAGTCCTTCACAGTGTAGTGTGTTACCAATTGTTTTATTGGTGACTATGGTCCCAGCTGCCTTGAGATCATTGACAAGATCCTCCCGTGTAGTTCTGGGCTGATTCCTCACCGTTGTCATGATCATTGCAACTCCACGAGGTGAGATCTTGCATGGAGCCCCAGGCCGAGGGAGATTGACAGTTATTTTGTGTTTCTTCCATTTGCGAATAATCGCACCAACTGTTGTCACCTTCTCACCAAGCTGCTTGGCGATGGTCTTGTAGCCCATTCCAGCCTAGTGTAGGTCTACAATCTTGTCCCTGACATCCTTGGAGAGCTCTTTGGTCTTGGCCATGGTGGAGAGTTTGGAATCTGATTGATTGATTGCTTCTGTGGACAGGTGTCTTTTATACAGGTAACAAACTGAGATTAGGAGCCCTTTAAGAGTGTGCTCCTAATCTCAGCTCGTTACCTGTATAAAAGACACCTGGGAGCCAGAAATCTTTCTGATTGAGAGGGGGTCAAATACTTATTTCCCTCATTAAAATGCAAATCAATTTATAACATTTTTGACATGCGTTTTTCTGGATTTTTTGGTTGTTATTCTGTCTCTCACTGTTCAAATAAACCTACCATTAAAATTATAGACTGATCACTTCTTTGTCAGTGGGCAAACGTACAAAATCAGCAGGGGATCAAATGCTTTTTTCCCTCACTGTATGAGCACAGTAATGTCCATGTTTTATTTTGGTTTCCTTACTTATCTGTGATGTCACACATTTGCATGATGCTTAAAGGGGCAATCTGCAGTTGCTACATACATTTTAGGACATATAAATTAATGATATGTACCTGTGGATTCCTGAAGAATATAACTTATAAATGTCTCATGAGCTTAGTTCATCTGCCATTCTCCATCACAACCCAATATATAAGCTTGTTTTCCTCCAGTGTTCGTAATCAAAGAAAATGTAAACAAACACTCATAACATGGTTACAACCATAAAGTTTATATCATGGGTGGTCAGTCCTTGCACCCATAGCTCTTCTATGAATTTGACAGTGGCTACATTTCTCCAGCCCCATCCCTCAGCTTTTTACCAAAACAGGGGCGGGACACAAGCTTTGTTATTGTGTCAACTGCTGATTGCCGCTTTAAAGAAAAATTTAGTCAAGTGCCTAAAGCTGCTGATTTAGAAGTATTGCATAGTTTATAAAACTGACTGATTTTATAAAAAACGTAACTTCCATTCTATATATTACACTTGTACTTCATTCATTGTCAAAGTGAAGTTATTGATATTAAAGAAAATGTGCCTGATTTATATGAAAGCTCAAAACAAAACATACTTTTTAAATACATTATAGCTACATCACAACAGATCCTTGATTGTTAACAGGAAAAATTACAAAACAGACCCTTGTTGGGGTCAATTCGAATTCAAGTCAGCCAATGAACATTTTCCGATATTTACATACTGTTTTACCCACTTTATATGTATATACAGTACTGTACTTTAGTCAAGGTTCATCCTATATAACTACAGCTGCACACACCTTTTCTATACACACCACTATATATGTTTATTTATATTCCGGACTCTGACATTGATCGTCCTGATATTCCTTAATTCCTTTATTTAAATGTTTGGGATTTGTGTGATTTTTTTGTATTGTTAGGTATTGCAATAACATCTGCAAAATGTGTGTGCCCGACAAATAAAATGTGATTTAATGTAAATTAAAATCACTTCTTGAATTGAGTGAATTCGAATTGACCGCAACAAACAGATGCAGGGGTCGTTAAATTAGAAGAATACAACTCAATTTAATCCTGAAAGGAAGATGCAATAATATGAGATTAGTATGTGAGAATACCTCTTAAGAGAGTGTCCCTGCAATTTAATCTGACCATTTTAATGCTCTACTCTCACAGATCCAACGGTTCTGCATGCTACACGATTCAGCATTCCAATTATCCAAAGGTGCATTCTTTGGGACAGTTAATACGCAATCACCCCCAGTTTGTCTCTTCCAAAACCTGTGAAAAGAGAACACCACCATGAATGAAAAGAAATGACTGAATCAAAAAACGATTTAACAATGCTTCTTTGTTGTGTTTATACTGAATGAAATGTCCTTACCCATCAGTCAGATTCTGATTACTTCCATTAACCCAGAGCCATTGGCGGTCTTTAGCCATGTCAGTCAGGCCGATCCAGTACCCATGATGTTCATCATAGAAGTATTGAGTGTGGTTATGAATGAATTCCTTAATGAGAAGTGAGTGAAACCACATTTTTTTTTTTTTACAATAATTCAAATTTTTGGGAGGCAGTGTGTAAATACAGGATCTAATGGATGTAATGAGGTCCAAATGAGAAAATAACAAAGAGCACAACAGGAAGTAGCATTGTAATGGGCTTTGTGCTTTTGTCTCACCCTGAGCTCATAGCTATCACACATTTTAATCTAGTTCCTATTTCACTTTTCATACATTTTCATTGTTTGAGTCTCTTAAAGGTTGAGTGAATCTGTCCCTCTAATCTTTTGTTTGTACCATTGTCCCACCTGTTCCTCTTGGCTGCCAATGATAGCCAAATCAGCATTCTCTTGTTTGCAATATTGTTGGCTTTGTGTCCAGGTCTTCCATGGAGCGTCAGGGTGCAAAATCAGGTAACAACTAGATTTGAACAACATCCAGCCATCTTGACAAGAGTTACACTTTCTATCTGCAACAGAGAAGCACTACAGTATTAACGCTACAATATAAACAATATTAGTGTTTTTAATACTATATATTGATTTAAAGTGTAATATCTAATAAATAATGTATTTTAATGTACAAGAAAGGGGATTACCTCCTGTGTCATCTTTTTGTGAACAATATTTATTGACAGGGAAATCATCAAGCTGATATATGACCCGAAGATTCCAGTTCAGTCTATCCCTCTCTGTTGACACCTCTTCTTTCTCAGCCGCTAAACATTGGTTTGCAGTGTTTACATTGTTATAATCACTCTGCAAAATGTGATTGGCTGTACTCAGACAGAAAGACAGGAAGACCTATTTACTCTATGATGTCATCCTGCGTCTTAGTCCATGCCGCTCTGTCATTGCTTGACCATATATGTATATATTCTCAAATTCCATTCCTTACTTAGATTTGTGTGCATTGGGTATATGTTGTGAAATTGTTAGGTATTACTTGTTAGATATTACTACACTGTCGGAGCTAGAAGCACAAGCATTTCGCTACACCCGCAATAACATCTGCTAAACACATGTGACAAATACAATTTGATTTGATTTGATTTTCACCACTCCAAAATCCATAATACTTTATTATCCACATACTCACAGTAGACACAGAGGCCTATAATGGCTGAAAGCAAGAGGACACAAAGAACCCCCAAACATACTGCCACTCCTCGAAAGGGTTGAGAGTGGAGAGCAGGCTTCTCATCCACTAGGAATAGCAAAGATAAGAGTTATGTTATTATAACCATAGTGTTAGCATAAGAATATACATTTAATGGTAAGCGTTATTCCATCATTTTATGAAATGTAATAATTGACAAATAAATTGTGGATAATTTGACTATGGTCTAGATTCAATCTGGACTGCGGAAGATCTGCGCTATAGCCAATTGTAATTTAAAGGCATACACGGAGACTGCATTCACAGTAAACGCTGCATATTTTGGGTCATTCGGAAATGACCTTAACATTTCTATCGAGCTAAACATGTAAACCCAACCCTAGGCAACAGCAGTGACTAGGGCCCTCAAACTCAACTCTGGACCTCGAAGAATGGTGCCGGAGGAGATGGCTACCATTTTACGGCCCCCTAACCAATTTTGTGATTATGTTAATTTTTTCACGTTATTTGTAATTTTTTCTGTACACCGTCTCTTATGCTTCTGGATATCAAGACAGCGATTACTCACCTCGTATTGGACCAATATTTTTTCTTCAACGAGTCGGACGCGAAGGATATTCTACAGACACCCAAAAAGGCCCAAATCCCCGTCATTCACATGAGAAAGAGACGGAGATATCGTGGACATAGGTCGGGGTGCCTTGTAAGGATCCGACGGCGAGCGAGTAATCTGCCTCCTCTATCAGTCCTATTAGCCAATGTACAATCATTGGAAAACAAAATGGACGACCTACGATCAAGGATACCCTACCAACGGGACATTAAAAACTGTAATATCTTATGTTTCACCGAGTCATGGCTGAACGACGACATGGATAACATACAGCTGGCGGGATATACGCTACATCGGCAGGATAGAACGTAGTTGTCTATTTACCACCACAAACCGATGCTGGCACTAAGACTGCACTCAATGAGCTGTATAAGACCATAAGCAAACAGGAAAATTCTCATCCAGAGCCAGCGCTCCTAGTGGCCGGAGACTTTAATGCAGGGAAACTTAAATCCTTTAAAAAAAAACTCTAGACCACCTTCACTCCACACACAGAGATGCGTACAAGCTCTCCCTCGCCCTCCATTTGGCAAATCTGACCATAATTATATCCTCCTGATTCCTGCTTATAAGCAAAAACTAAAGCAGGAGGCACCAGTGACTCGGTTAATAAGGAAGTGGTCAGATGACGCAGATGCTAAGCTACAGGACTGTTTTGCTAGCACAGACTGGAATATATTCCTAGCTGGAGGGGTGCTTTCGTCTTATCTACCAACATAGACATGGCTCTAACTCCTCTAGCTCCACAGTGAGACAGGGTGCAGGCCAGGCAGCAGGCTTTTAGCCAGCCTGCCAGCTTAGTGGAGTCTGCCACTAGCACAGTCAGTGTAGTCAGCTCAGCTCAGCTATCCTCGATCTAGGTTGAGCAAAACTAAACATGGCGGTGTTTGCCTTAGCAATCTCACTGGAATAAAGACCTCCTCCATTCCCGTCATTATTGAAAGAGATTGTGATATCTCACATTTCGAAATAGGGCTATTTCATGTTAGATCCCTCACTTCCAAGGCAGTTATGGTCAATGAACTAATCACTGATCATAATCTTGATGTGATTGGCCTGACTGAAACATTGGCTTAAGCCTGATGAATTTACTGTGTTAAATGAGGCCTATCCTCCTGGTTACACTAGTGACCATATCCCCCGCGCATCCCGCAAAGGCGGAGGTGTTGCTAACATTTACGATAGCAAATGTCAATTTACCCCCGACAAAAATGACTGCATTTTCGTATTATGAGCTCCTAGTCATGAAATCTATGCAGCCTACTCAATCACTTTTTATAGCTACTGTTTACAAGCCTCCTGGGCCATATACAGAGTTCCTCACTGAGTTCCCTGAATTCCTATCGGACATTGTAGTCATGGCAGATAATATTCTAATTTTTGGTGACTTTTATATTCACATGGAAAAGTCCACAGACCCAATCCAAAGGGCTTTCAGAGCCATCATCGACTCAGTGGGTTTTGTCCAACATGTCTCCGGACCTACTCATTGCCACAGTCATACCCTGGATCTAGTTTTGTCCCGTGGAATAAATATTGTGGATCTAAATGTTTTTCCTCATAACCCTGTACTATCGGACCACCATCTTATTACGTTTGCAATCGCAACAAATAATCTGCTCAGACCCCAACCAAGGACCATCAAAAGCTGTACTATAAATTCTCGGACAACCCAAAGATTCCTAGAGGCCCTTCCAGACTCCCTCCACTTACTCAAGGACATCGGGGTAGAATAATTAGTTAACGACTGTCACGACCGTCTTGAAAGGGAGCAGACCAATACGCAGCGCGTTGAGTGAACATGATGACTTTAATGAGTACAGCACGTAAATACAAAACAAAAGACGATAGTGAAGTCCAACAGTGACAATGACTGAACTTGGAACAAAAACCCACAACCACAAGGTGAAAACACACAGTATAAATATGGCTCCCAATCAGAGATAACGAGCCGACAGCTGACACTCGTTACCTCCGATTGGGAGTCACTGACCAACCACGGAAAACAAAACCAATACCAAACACAACAAATGAACACACCCTATACCCAACACAACCAAATGAATACACCCTGGCTCAAACAACACAGTCCCGGAGCCAGAGCGTGACAGTACCCCCCCCTAAAGGCGCGGACTGCGACCGCGCCTCAACTAGGGCTAACCAAGGGAGGGCTGGGTGGGCATACCTCTTCGGCGGTGGTTCTGGCTCTGGTCGTGGTCCCCACCCCACCATAGTCACTACCCGCTTTCGTAGCCTCCTCCAACTGAACCCCACCGGATAAAGGGGCAGCACCGGACTAAGAGGCAGCACCGGACTAAGGGGCAGCACCGGACTAAGGGGCAGCACCAGGATAAGGGGCAGCACCAGACTAAGGGGCAGCACCGGACTAAGGGGCAGCACCGGACTGAATGGCGGATCCTGGCTGGCTGGCTCTGGCGGATCCTGGCTGGCTGACGGATCTGGCTGCTCATGGCTGGCTGACGGATCTGGCTGCTCATGGCAGGCTGACGGATCTGGCTGCTCATGGCTGGCGGAAGGCTCTGGCTGATCCTGTCTGGCGGAAGGCTCTGGCTGATCCTGTCTGGCGGAAGGCTCTGGCTGATCCTGTCTGGCGGAAGGCTCTGGCTGATCCTGTCTGGCGGAAGGCTCTGGCTGATCCTGTCTGGCGGAAGGCTCTGGCTGATCCTGTCTGGCGGACGGCTCTAGCGGCTCCTGTCTGGCGGAAGGCTTTAGCGGCTCCGGTCTGGCGGACGGCTCTGAAGGCTCATGGCAGACGGGCGGCTTATGCAGCGCTTGGCAGACGGACAGTTCAGACGGCGTTGGGCAGACGGGCAGTTCAGGCGCCGTTGGGCAGACGGGCAGTTCAAGCGCCGTTGGGCAGACGGGCAGTTCAGGCGCCGTTGGGCAGACGGGCAGTTCAGGCGCCGTTGGGCAGACGGCAGACTCTGGCCGGGCGACGCGCACCGTAGACTTGGTGCGGGTGGCAGGAACAGGCCGGACCGGGCTGGCGACGCGCACCGTAGACTTGGTGCGGGTGGCAGGAACAGGCCGGACCGGGCTGGCGACGCGCACCGTAGTCTTGGTGCGGGTGGCAGGAACAGGCCGGGTCGGGCTGGCGACGCGCACCGTAGACTTGGTGCGGGTGGCAGGAACAGGCCGGACCGGGCTGGCGACGCGCACCGTAGACTTGGTGCGGGTGGCAGGAACAGGCCGGACCGGGCTGGCGACGCGCACCGTAGTCTTGGTGCGGGTGGCAGGAACAGGTCGGGCTGGACTGGCGACGCACACCGTGGACTTGGTGCGGGGAGCAGGACTATGCCGGACCGGGCTGTGGAGACGGATAGGAGGCCTGGAGTGAACAGCGGCCACCACCCGTCCTGGCTGAATGCCTACCCTCACACACTCTGTGTGAGGCATCCGCACAGGACGTACAGGGCGGTGTACCCCTGGCCTGGTGGCCTCCTGGATTCGCCCCATCTTTGCCTCCGTCGTCCATGCCGTGTGCTTGATGCGTGGAGTCGGAACAGGTCGGGCTGGGCTGGCCACGCACACCGTAGGCTTTCTACGTGGAACAGGAACCGGCCGGGCTGGACTGGCGACGCACACCGTGGGCTTGATGCGTGGAGTAGGAACAGGCCGGTCCGTACTGGGAACACACACCACTGGCCTTAACCGGGGATCAGGAACGGGCCGGTCCGGACTGGTACCACACCTCAGTCTCTCACGCCGTGCCTCAACTGCTTCCCTCCCTCTATTCGCCAATGGCTCCCGTAATCCGGTAGCCTTCTCTCCACATCTCCCTGTGGCAGCCTCCTGCTGCCCAGCCGCCCAAGCCATGTGCCCCCCCCAAAAAACTTTTTGGGGTTGCCTCTCGTCCTTCCAACGATGACCCTGCTGACGCCGTTGCTCCTCTCTCGCCAGGGCCTTGATCTTCCCCCAAGGTCCCTTGCCCCCGAGCATGTCCTCCCAGGACCACGATTTGCC